TGGAATGGAGGACTTGGAGGCGAAATGGGACGAACAGAAGGCAAATCAGAAGAAGTAGACCCATCTCCCCCATGAAGTGGCTTCTGTGAGTCAATTGGAGCGTCCAGAACGTCGTCTGAGATGTCTGGGAGTGTAAGGGAGGTTGTAGGCAACTTGAGAAGTGAATTGAGGTGAGGGGGAGGTAGGAGGGGAACTGAATGCTTCTGAAGCATGAAAAAGCGTTCATCAAAGTCAGCTCTTTCTGAAATAATGACCCTCTTTGTCACTGGGTTGTAGAACTTCCAGCCCTTGTATCCCTGAGGGTATCCAATGAATACACACTTCTCCATGTGCGATCCAAGGCTCCCTAGTGGTCGCTTGTCCCTCTGTATCAGCACATAAGCAGTACAGCCCCAAACACGAAGCATAGAGAGATCTGGCTTAGTCCCATAGAGAACCTGATAAGGTGTCGCCTCAGGGAGAGCTGAAGTGGCCAGCTTGTTGCTGGTGTGAATAAAAGCGGCCAGTGCTTCTCCCCAGAAAGCTGTAGGCATTCCAGACTCATGCAGCATCGACACAACACCTTCCTCCATCGTTCTGTTCGCTCTCTCTGCAACTCCATTCTGCTGAGGTCGATTCCTGACAGTGTGCTGCCTCTGGATGCCATGATCAATGCAGAACACTTCAAACTCCCTGGACATGTATTCCCCACCCTTATCATCCCTGAGAGTCCCCAGTTTCGCCCCAGTGACATTCTCTGCCCAAGCCTTGAACTGCTTGAATGCAGCAAAGGTCTCTGACTTTTGCTTAAGGAGATAGACTGCGTTAAAGCGAGAGTAGTCATCAATGAATGTGACCCAATAGCGATACCCTTGATGTGTAGGCACCTTCACAGGGCCATGGACATCACTGTGGACGAGTTGGAGGGGTTTTGAGGCTCTAGAGGTCGAAATTGGAAAGGGATCTGCATGCATCTTGCCAGCTTTGCAGGCTTCACATACCAGATCAGGGTTAGCTTGTGAATCAAGCTTGAAACCCGTCACCAGGTTACCTGAATGCAGCTTCTTGATGCCTGCAAGGTGATGGTGGCAGAGGCGACGATGCCAGAGGTCCCAATCTAGTGGAAGAGTGGTAGCTGATGAAAGGGAGGCAAATTCTTCGACAGGGATTGTGTCCCCCACAAGATATGCAGCATTGGCAGCCCCAGTCTTCGCTTGGAAGGCAATCCTGTTGTCCTTGATGAAGTGCATAGTGTCCTTCTCAATGGAGACGATGAAATGGCGATGAACAGTGAGATATAGCACAGAGAATAGATTACTGCAGAGAGCAGGAACATAAAGGACATTGGAGAACTCTAGAGGCGCCATCTCCTGCCCATTAACCACAGGATTGAATCGCACTGAGCCCACCCCTTCGGAATACACCACAGAACCATCAGCCAGCCTAATTTCGACTCTATGAGGCCTCAAATTTCGCATCCAATGCCGATTGAATGTCATATGAGCTGAGGCGCCAGTGTCTGCATTCCAGCAAGTGTGAGCTTCGGACTGGGGAGCAGAAAAGAAGGCACTTGCTGATGCAACTGAAGCGGACTGTGGGGCAGCTGGGGATGCATTAGACGATGTGGAGGCTGGTGAGGCTGTGGATGATGAAGGGGGGTGAAGTTGGCGAATTAAGCGTTCCTTCAGGAAGCACTTGGCCTCATTGTGGCCGAGGCGAGAGCAGAACTTGCATTTAGGGCGACTAGAGGTGCTGTCTTGTGAGTTGTGGGTGGAGGAAGTGGAATGGGGGGTTGTGGACGCCTTAGAACGCGATTTTGAAGGCCCAGAAGCGGCTGAAAACGCAGATGATGTTCCAGAGAGGTTAGAGCGAGTCTGATCCATGTTCCTGAGCGATTGGATGACAGATTGCTTGTCAAACTTGTCCAGGACCGAAATTGTGCGCACAACTTCATCAAAGGACTGTGGAAGCGCTCTGATGATCGCCATAACAGCTAGCTCATCATAGAGGTTGTCTAGGGTGAAGGAAGGGGGTGAAAGCGACTTGATGACCCTAATCTGCTCATCCACCTTGTTAATGAGTGATTCCAGGGACTCAGAATCGTCTTTCTGGGTGGAAAGGAGAGTGTGATAGGCATTGAAGCGAGGTGCAGTTCGCTGTTGCACAAAGTTAGCCTTGAGGGTGTCCCAGATAGCAATGGGGTCGTCTTCACAGTCCCTAATAAGCACCCTGAGCTCATGAGACATCGCTGTTTTGAGGGCTCCAGCAGCTCTATCAGCCTTGACCTCCCATCTCTCAAGTTTGTCCTCATCTGGGGGTGTTGCAGCGGTGAGTACATTGCCCTTAGAGTCCAGAACTTCGGGTTTGCCAGTAGGCTTCTTCTCTGAGCCAGAAACAAGTCGCCAAAGGCCATTGAGCTGTAGCCAGGACTTGATGTCATCAGCCCAGAGGTGATAGTTTTCGCTTGTGAGAGGAGAAATAGAGGTGATGGAAGTGTCTCTGGAGGCGGACATGATGTAGGCAGTGTAATTGAGTGAATGGGAGAGATATGAGCGATTTGAGCGAGTGGGAAGAGTGAAAAGGTATGGAAGTGAGTGAAATGATAGGAATGAGTGTGTGAGGAGCTAAGACAGAGCAGAGCGATGTAGACAGCAAGGAGGACAGCTGGAATCAATAAACGCACAGGGCAGGGCCCATAACCTGTTAAGATGCGACCTTATAAGGGCCCTTGAGTCACAGAGGACACAAGGGGACTGCAGAGGAGGATATAAGACTAAATTGATTAATGTAATAGAGTACTACTCACCTGCAGAGGAGGATATAAGACTAAGGGATATTTTTCCATCCTCTGCCAGATATATCAACCTGACTAAGCTACCTGAATAAGGAAATACCAAAAGGAGCGATGTACAGACACATAAACAAACTATAGTGGATGCTTCACCAACAAATAACATCTCCATGTGCGATCCAAGGCTCCCAAGTGGTTGCTTGTCCCTCTGTATCAGCACATAGGCAGTGCAGCCCCAAACTCGAAGCATAGAGAGATCTGGCTTGCTGCCATAAAATGCCTGATAAGGGGTCGCCTCAGGGAGAGCTGAAGTGGCCAATTTATTGCTAGTGTGAATAAAAGTGGCCAGTGCCTCTCCCCAGAAGGCTGTAGGCATCCCAGACTCATAAAGCATTGATACAACACCTTCCTCCATTGTCCTATTAGCCCTCTCAGCCACACCATTCTGCTGAGGTCAATTCCTGACAGTGTGCTGCCTCTGGATGCCATGGTCAATGCAGAATGCTTCAAACTCTCTAGACATATACTCCCCACCATTATCATCACTGAGAGTGCCCAGTTTTGCTCCAGTGACATTCTCTGCCCAAGCTTTGAACTGCTTGAAGGCACCAAAGGTCTCAGACTTTCACTTAAGTAGATAAACTGCCTTAAAGTGAGAGAAGTCATCGATGAATGTGACCCAATAGTGATACCCTTGATGTGTAGGTTCCTTAACAGGGCCATGGACATTTCTATGGACGAGTTGGAGGGGTTTTGAGGCTCTTGAAGTCAAAATTGGAAAGGGATTTGCATGCATCTTGCCAGCTTTGCAGGCTTCACATACCAGATCAGGGTTAGCTTGTGAATCAAGCTTGAAACCTGTCACCAGGTTACCTGAAAGCAGCTTCTTGATGCCTGCAAGGTGATGATGGCAAAGGCGACGATGCCAGAGGTCCCAGTCCAAGGGGAGGGTGGTGGCAGATGAGAGTGAAGCAAATTGTTCTACAGGAATGGTTTCCCCAACAAGATAAGCAGCATTGGATGGTCCAGTCTTCACTTGGAAGACAATCTTGTCCTTCTCAATGGCCACAGTGAAATGGTGATTTAGAGTGAGGAATAGGATGGAAAATAGGTTAGTGCAGAGGTCAGGGACATAGAGGACATCAGTGAACTCTAGAGGGGGCAGTTCCTGTCCATTGACCACTGGATTGAAGCAAACAGTGCCTACACTCTCAGAGTAGACAACAGAGTCAGCCAGCCTTATTTCAACTTTGTGGGGCCTTAGATTTCACATTTAATGACGATGAAATGTCATATGGGCTGAAGCACCAGTGTCAGCATTCCAGGAGGTATGAGCTTTGAACTGGGAGGCAGAGAAGAGGGCAGATGCTGAAGAAGCAGAATGAGAGGCCTGTGAAGTGAGAGATGATGATGGGACAGTGAAAGTGTCTGAATTAGGAGATGTGAACGCTCTAGAAGGCAAAGTGAAGGGTTTAGAAGCTCCTGACAGTGAGGAGGAGGTTCCAGAAGTGATAGAGTGAGTTGGATGCATGCTTAGGAGTGATTAGAACGAGTGGAAAAGAGTGGAGGAGAATGGAGTGAGTTGAATGAGTGGAATGAAGGTTCTGAGAGCTGAGATAGAACACCAGAGAAGACAGCAGCAAGGATGCCAGCAAAGCAGAGTTAAGTCACTAGGCAGGGCCCATAACCTGTTAGAATGTGACCTATATAGGGCCCTTGAGTCACAGAGGACACAAGGGGACTGCAGAGGAGGATGTAAGACTATATTGATTAAAGTAAAAGATTACTACTCACCTGCAGAGGAGGATATAAGACTAAGGGCTATTTTTCTGTCCTCTGCAGGATATATCAACCTGACTAAGCTACCTAAATAAGGAAATACCAAAAGGAGCAATGTAAAGACACATAAACACACTATAGTGAACACTTTAGCAACAAATAACAGCACAATGCTATGATGCATGCACTCCTTGAAATGAATAAGGAAGATGTTATTTGCATTCAGGAGCTGTAGTTTGGAAACATTGGAACAACAAGAGAAGACAAGAGTAAGTATGGTAGGATGGTTTATAGCTATGCCAGCCACCAAAACTGGAACCTTTACTACCCTCATTTTATGGACAATTTACATGTGAAGTGTTGAATTTGTGGGACCTCAACAGCCCAATGGGGACGTGGCCCAATGGGGAAATATGCCCCAAAGGGGAAAGTGTGGGTCCACACAAGAAAAAGACCAGACTGGGGTTTGAACCCAGAACCTCCCAGTTATATACTGGGTACTCTAACCACCAAGCTAAATGGCCCTGAGTATAGAGTGTTGGTTTCACAATGATATCAACCATGACAGATTGCATATCCAACATGAGGGTCATGATTTACATACCTAAACATAGTCAGACTGTATCTAAATGATGGTTACATCCACTGAAGGCAGTTCTGCAATATGATCTGGTTAGACATAATTGTATACAGGTTGTGGACTTTCACATACATTTACAAGTAGTAAACTTTTATAATGATGTAGAAGACATTATAGCTATTCAGACACTACTTTCTTTGGACTTTGACTCATAGGTGCTGACCCTTATGGTTGGTGACTTCAATTTACATTCCCCACACTGGTCACCTTGCAACTGGGCCCCTTCTCCAAGAATAATGGCTTTCAAACAATGGGTTGCAACCCAGTTGTTTGAACTCACCACTGTTCCAGGGGAAATCACACAGAGAGGGACCAAAGAAGAACACCTCAGTGAGCTAGACCTAGTCTGGCACATCTGTGCAGCTGTCACTTCTCTTGCTCTTACCCCACCTATTATGGATTGGGAGGCCTCTTTAGACTCAGATTATGCAGGAATTTGCTCCCTATGGCTCCTTGAGGGTTTCTTCCTTGGGGCCAAATAGAAAGTGTGGACTATGTGGGATTTCTCATTGATGGGGGAAGATGGGTCTGAAGCATGGCTGGACAAGGTCACACATGGACTCCCATATGTCAACACTATTTGGGATTCCCCAGCTTCCATTGAACAAGCAGCTGAGAAGATACAATTGGCCATTGTAGATGCATATGACAAGTTCTTCAAAAAGAAACTACTATCCAAAGCAAGGAGCAATAGATGGTGAAACAATGATTGTTAAGAGGCGGTCAACAAATTATAGTTGTTTCCCCCTGGGGATAACCTAGAACAGAGACTTGCTGTGCACCATTTGAAGAAGGTCACCAAAAGAGCCAAACATGACTATTACAAAGACATTGTCACAAAACATAACATATGGGAAGTTGCACAATGAAGGCATGGGAGGTGACTTGCAGGTATTTCTGCTTTGAGGCTTGCATTCAGCATCCTCTCATTTGACCAAAAAGAAATCACAGCCACTCTCAGTGCCAAATTCTTCATAGAGGAGTTGGAGGAAATTGATATCATTCAAGATTTGGATCCACCAGCACTACCAGAGAGGGAGTGGAGCAAAATATGTGAAGAAGAAGTGGAAGCACTTTTTCCAAAGTGTTCAAACATCTTAGCCCCTGGAAACTTGGGCATATCATGGGAAATCATTAAGAGATCATGGGACTGTACCAAGGAATGTCTTATTGCACTCTTTGATGCTTGTCTACACACAGGATATCACCCTAGTATCTGGAAGAAGGCAACCATTGTCATCATTCTCAAACCTGGCAAAGACAGCTATTTGGCAGCCAAATCTTACAGACCCATTTTGCTGATTGAATGCCTTAGCAAACTGCTGGAGAAGGTAGTTGTGAAGTGGTTCTTACACAATGTAAACAAATATTGCCTCCTTCCTACCACTCAATTTGGGACTAGGAGCTTTTTGTGCACCCTTGACACTGGACTTATGCTCTGTCATGATGCACAGGCTCAACTCTGTCTTGGACGTAAATGTGGAGCCTTGCTGTTTGACATCAGTGGTTTCTTCAATCATGTTCATAGGAAATGACTGGTTCATGTCCTCAGGAACCTTGGCTTTGCAGAATTGGTTGCAACATGGGTGGACTCTTTCCTGGATGGTCGCAAGGTCACTTTGGCCTTCAATAGTCAATTAGGTGAAGAATGGGACCAACCCATTGGGACCCCTCAGGGCTTGCCACTTTCCCTTATCCTTTCTGCACTATATACGTCACCTTTACTTAAATTGTTACCCCCAACAGACAGAACAACCTTAGGCATGTATGTTGATGATAAACTTATCTTTGCTCATTGCAAGGACTGGGCCGAAGTTGATGATTGCATGCAAAAGTGTTATGCCCAGTGCAAACTATGGCTAAAAGCCTCCAATCTATTCATAGAACCAGTGAAAACTGAACTATTGTACTTTCATACACCATGGGCTCACCTAACTAACAGCCCACCTACTTTCCTTTATCTCACTGACATTTTATGCAATACTTACTATAAGGTTCACCCCTCAGCTTTGGTACAGTACCTGGGGTTCTTTATTAACCACAAATTTGACTGGGGACTGCACATGACTATGATGTGCAATTGAGCATGAGCATCCCATAAGTCTTTACAGATGCTTGGTAACTTCATCCAGGGGATATCCACAGCCAGCTGACGACTAGTGTTTAATGCAGTCTGCTTGCCTGTGCTGTCATATGGATGTCAACTCTGGATGACATCACCTAAATGCAAATCACTCATTAACCAGGTCCAGAAGGTAATGAATGAAGGGGTACATGTAGTGGCTGGGGTGTTTTGCATGGCACCACGTGAACCCCTACATGAACTCCTCCATATTCTTCCAGCCAGGTTGTACCAGAAAAAGCTTACAGAAACATCTTCCTATGGACTGACCCATGTCCCCCATATGTCACAGCTCCTAACCTGTCTGGGAAGGGAATGGATGGTTGCAGTCCAGAATGGCCCAGACTTCAGCAATGGAGGACTGGTACAAGTCAGTGCATAGGTGAACCAGTCTGGAGGTTTGCCACAGTGCCCTACTACCTTAGAGGCTCTCAGTGTACAAGTTGAGACAAGGTGTCCTTGAACCAACATCAATGCATTTGTGCCCTGGGAGGTTCCCAACTGGGGTGCATCTGTGATGACCAAAGGGCAATTATCTACCTAGCTAGAACAATCTCCAACAGGGGTCGATCTGACAATAAGCAAGTAGGTGCAGCTGCTGCTTGTTTTACTATTGGGGAGATGCAGTATGTCCAGAAATGGTGTATGGGCACTGAGGTTGAGCAATCAGATGTTAGCCTGTTTGTAGTTAGCAAGGTGGTGGAAGCTATTTGCCAAAAGTTTTCTCATGGGGTCACTCCCAAAGACATGTATGTACTTAGTTCTGACTTTAGTGCACTACAATGCATCACTTGTTTCCATGGTGTCAACAATCAAAAGGAGTTACTTTAGTTTCACTCTGCACTTACTGAACTTTTTGCTGTACCTAGGAACATGAGGATTTATCTCATGTGGTCACCTGTCAAATGAGCATGCATGCAATTAACCTTAGCTCGGAAAGCCACCTTGGAATGCTGCAAGACCACCACCTCTCCATCACTCATCAGTGTGCAGTCTGCCGCTTACAACAAATCCTGTGCCCATCAGGTTGCATTTACAAACTGAACTATGGACTGGATTTGAGACTGAAGACAAAAACTTGGTCAAGACTCTACAGTTTATACACACACCCTTACCCATCCATCTTAATGGCCAGAATCACCTGCTGTTCCTAGCAGTGAAGCCATCACCTTCAAAAGACACTAACAAATTTAACTTTACTGTCACTCAGTGCACCCATTGCACTGCACTCCAGATGGCCCTATGGCACTCTTTCACATTGGAGTACATATTATGTCATAGGCCTGATTTACTTACCTCTAGAGGCTTTGGCTTGTCCGTGTGAACTCCCAGAAAAGATAAACCCACACCTCATTTATGCCTGCTCATAATATTCCATGGCACACAAGTCATTTAACATCAAAAGTCATAACCTCCCATATATACACACTAAACTGCATAATATGTTGGAAAAATATCTTTTTGGCAGAGAGCACTGCAAATGGTTGCTTGTATTTCTACAATGTTTCAAGGCTGGCTCAAAACCAGATATGGGAGATATCCCATATGACCCAGGTTGATGCATGTTCTCTGATGACTTGCAGCCCTGTTGTTGCAGTGGCCCATGCAATTACATAACATGGACATCAGTCATTTTGTGGACTTTACTATATTTTCCTTACATATGACAGCTTCCCTTTGGAAGGGTGCCACCTCTCCTTGATTAGTTCCCTATGGGTATGAACTCCAATTACCTAATGATCTCAAATTTGTCTATTATTCATAGATAAGACTGGTTTTGTATTATTATACTGCCCCAGAATAAAATAGTTCCAAAAAAAAAACAAAAAAAAAAACCAAGCATAAGGCTGAGTTCTTGCTTCCCTTACAAGAAATTGACACTTTGGTGAATAACTGCAGCAGTGAGGCTGGAGTCCTTGACCAAGGTTCCCAAATTGTGGTCATTTGTGAAGATTTGACAAATGAAGTTGGTGCAAAGATCAACAAGCAGTGCATGCTGCACATGAAATGTGCCAATGGCAGCACATCACACATACTGGGATGTGCTGAGGACTTAGACATGTGCATTGGTGATATTTCATTCATGATCCATGCTCACATTGTCCACATAGCACCCTTTCACCTGCTCCTCAGTCAGCCATTTCATCATCTTCTGCTCTGCAGACTTGAAGACCACCTCAACCATGTTGATATGTCCATCCATGACCCCACAGATCCTTCACACTTCATCACAGTCCCCTTCTAAGCTTGCCATGATGCTGAGATTGGCTTTGTCATCACCTTTGCCTGCCAAATCCAACCTGAACCCCTGTGCATGGAGGCACTAGAATGCTACATTGCCTCTCCTCACATTTCCCTTTTTCCCAATTTCCTGCCCATGCCTGACCCATCCATCACAGTTCTGACATACAAGAAAGCTGCCCAGTGTTATGATCTGAATGCTTCAAACCATTACCCAGTATGTTACCCTTTGACTGTGCCATATATGTCATTTTTCTTTGTTCTGTTTTCATCTCCACTATCTCTCCTTTCTCCTTGTGGATGTCCCTTTGTTCCACAAACAGTTTGATTGGCTGTTGTCTTCTGCTTCAGATAAGAAAACCCTGATAACAACATTTACTTGTGTCTGTCTTTGTATATTCATCTATGTGACTTGAGCACTATATATACTTGTACTTTACATAGTAGGAAGCCAGACTTGGCTTCATTTGCAATCTAGCAACCTTGCCTTTGAACTCTGGTGTGAATTGTCTTTCTCTTAT